AGCTGGAATACAAGTCACCCGTTGAGGTAGACCAAGTTCTAGGCTGTATAAACATACACAAGCACCAATTTCTTTTTCAAACATTGTCTTGAAAATTTATATGAAATATTTAAAAACAAAACAGTCAAGATATGTAGGAATAATTTGTAGACCTCGGTATATACTTTCTACGTATGTTAAATAATATTATACAAATCGTCGTTTGCTCCCATTTCAATTATTGCTCGTTGGCTTGGTCTTGTCTCTGTGTAATTGATTAATGTTCGAGCTGTTTTACCACCATCACTGCAACATATCTTGAGAAACTGCACCTGCTTCAAGAAAGAACGATGCCAGGAAGTGAAAATGTATTTTATCTTTCCCACGCGAAGGACCTGTTTTCAACTTATATTATACTCAGTATTCCCAAGGCTATCCAGAAAACTCAGACCAGAATTTCTCTATAACACTTCGTCCCTGGTAGAATTGTCTTGTTTACAACAGCATATCGTACCATACCAAATTTGTAATCCCGATTATTCGCACGCACAGACGTTTCGGTTAAACACTGGAAAAACTGTTAGCATAACGAATTCTAAAGTTTCTAAATGTATTGAATGCCGAAGGTGTACAGATATATGAACTCTGGATAAATTGCGCTTTGTCATGTATGGTGTTGCATATAAATGCATATACTATATATGCATATATATATGCATATATAGATTGATGTGATACGTTTTTTTTGTTTTTCGTTCAGGTTAAACGTATGTTTTGTGTTGATTTATGAATGTCCACTAATATGATGCTCAGTGACATTTATTTTCTACGTTTTTTTTTTCACTGCGATAAGTTATGTACACTTTTCCTTCGATATTAATTTTCTGAAGCTGCTGAAAAGTGTACTGGTGCCGAAAACTCGTCAAACCTCGTTACCCGGCTTCTTTTTTTTTGGCTCCAGCATTGCATGTAATTAAAATAAACTCTTATTATTATTATATGCAGACGAACCCAAGCCGCACATACACGCAGCGGCAGCACTCACACATTCACATTTGCACCGAAGCTACGAAGCAACTACCGGTTTAAAGCTTAGCTAGTTGACGAATGGTCAATGATGGTGGCGAAAATAGCTTGAACGTTAAACAATTACCTAGAGAGGAAAAATTAAACGATTACACAGAGACAAAACAATCAGTCAAATTTGAAGTGGCGCGCTACAGACGCGCTGACCTCAATGACAACATTGTAAACCATTCATAAGCTAATGTGTTTACACAAAATTTGCGACGCCCTATTCACAGTGAGCTGCGTCGCGAATCATCTCATGACAAATGCTCTCGAAGTTCATCGACAACCATCAGTAGTGGTTTCTGTAGCCAATTTTCGCCGCGGTCAGGCAAGAAAGTTGACGCAAATACTTCATAAATGCAGCGTCCGTGTTCCTCTTCACTGATTCACACGAGCACGAGCCTAACGTTGACGCAACGTTCGCCTACGTGGGATGAACACTCCGTCAAAAAACAAACAAATCATCGATATTCTCGTCCTCAGGGGAGTGGTTCACAACTTAGCCAGATGTGGCGGGACTCTTGGACCTCATTCCCAATATTTCGTTGCAGCGACGCGAGAGTAGAGGCTCCCGCTTAGAACAGGAATTTTTCTGACGCAAGCGTTTATAGAAAAGAAGGAATTTTTAAAGTTATATTACATAAATAGGCATCAGAGGAACCGCTCAAATACCAGTATGATTTGAAAATTAGCGCCCACTCCTCCTTGTCTAGCAAATCTATGACCTTGTTTTCCAGGAACCATATTACTCAGCCAAGTGTTTTTTTTTCACTCTCGTTAATACATTTATTCATAGCCTTTCTTGTATAAAAAATTTAGAATGGAGGTTTGAAAGGCCAATAGAACATTCATAAACGCCGAAAGGGTACGAAGTGAAAACATAAAGGGTTCAATCACGCAGTATAGTAAAGACCACATAGCATTTTCTGCAGAACTAAAGAAAAATTAGCACTGAACACGCACTGATTATCTCTCCCGCATGGTACACAAAACGCATGATTAAATTGTTAATATTTTTAAGTCAAGTCGGTGTAGTTTTCCTTTATATAAAAACATTTACTCGTCGAATTTGAATGTACTTGCATTCAAATCCTTAGCATCGTTTTTAAGAGAACGTGTCGAAAACACCTTTTGTGCGAAAGCTTACAACAAAATCATAACTCCCGACTATCACGCTCGTTTGGCTATCACACTGAACCGTTACACCTAGGCTGAAGCTATACACAGCACATTCGTTTTTAGGAGGCCATTAAAAAGAAAGAAAAAAGATGTACGCAAGAACACTCCCAACGGGTACTGAATATGGGACGGAGTGATTCCCATACAGACACTGGTCCGGCCGAGCTAAACAGAACTTTTGTGTTTTTGTGCTGGAGGGAACAGGTGCGTGAGGCCAGCTAACAGTTTGTTTACAGCGTGAAACGCTTACACCAATTTGACTAGGGTGACAAATACCGGGGGAGGTAGAACATCTGTTATCCATCTTGCGCAAGAAGTTTGTGTGTTGTGCTCGGTTTCTGTGCGCGAGTCTATACTTCGTCTCATCCTACGATGGACTAAAGGCGAAAGCCACAGGCCGCCAGGTCCAATCACGTTCCACGCCAAACTATGACATGCTCAGCGTTTATTAGGATTGGACAAATAATGCTCCTAATCCAAAAACGTTGCGTCATTTCTATAGCTTCAACACTGCAAAGAGCCAGTACGTCGTGGCTTTCTTTGCAATGTAAAATTGTTGAGTCACTCATTGCTCCCTCCGAACCACTGTCCACCCGTTGCCATCAGTGATCAGAGACGCGGTCACTGATACGTGCATCGAAGCGAAATACCACGCAATGTCTAAGTAGCTCGTGATTGGATCTGGCGGTTCGTAGCTTCTGCCTTTAGTCCATCGTAGGGTGAGACGAGGTATAGAGCAACCACATACTTTGTGTGTATGCTAGCTCAATGCATTTTGTATCTCTTTGTCTTTGTCAATTTAAGTTTGTTAGTGCAAATGTTTCTTCTAAGCTCAGAATGCCAGACGGACGTGCTCATTTTTAGGCTAGACAATCGTCGACTCTTTGCAACATTTAGCTCGAATAACAGCAGGTGTTTTTATTCGAGCTATGAAGCTAAGAATAACAGCAGGCGTTGTTATTCGAGTATGAGGTCATGAGTATCAAGGTACCAAGGTATAAAAAAAAAAAACTTCTTGGTATGATTGATAGAGTGTTTCTGCGCGATGTGCTGTAGTGTCTGCCTTTTTTGTTTTTGTTTTGTATTTTATATTTTATAATTTCTGCGGAGGAGTGACCTCGTCAATCTGATTTCTTCGGCTTTTTTTCCCCCAATCTCCCACATCGCTCGGATGGAAAATCAAGGTAATATTATTATGTTGGAACGAAAATTTGCACCGAGCCAAACATAAACGACAAAAGTGTGTAGCTCTTGATTGGCGGCCTGTATGTTTCAGTCGCTCAGCAGCTGCTGTCACAAGGGGGCCTAACGTGTTTAAACTCAATTTTATCCTTGCTTTTTTACCAAACCGTTTGCTGCATCCAACAAGCTGTCTTCTGTTGGCTTCGCTTTGTTACGTTCGGTTTGCCGTCCACTGCAAGCTAGAATTTCTAACGTAAGCAAACTGTTTTACCTTGTCTACATAGAACGTCTCCTTGAGAAATTGAATATGCGTATTTTATTATTTCTTCGGCTCATTCATAAGCAAGATACTTTCATTTCAACTTTCTTTGTGGGGTGGGATAGCTTGGGCTATAAACGTTATCTGAGACATGACTTGCACATGATATCAATGCGCCACGCTGGGAGTCGCTTCTACCTGTGCTTTTGGAGAAAAAAAATTCTGTGGCGTAAATGTACGCAGTATAAGGCAGACGATCAGAAGCGAAACCATAACAATGTGAGCAGACGTGACGTCAATTAAAATTATGCAGAGACCATCCCGGCCTCCGGCTTGTGCCATTTTCGGCGTTCGGGCTCATGACGCATGCTTTGCTGGTTTCCGAAGCAACGGACATGCGCGTGCTAAGCTGTGAGTTTGGAACTATTGTTTGTGAATCCACTTCCCAAATTTTTGCTTCTACTGGCGAGGAGACGAAACTACAAGGGACGCTTTGTCCAGGTAGTTTTTTTTTTTTTTTTTTTTTTTCACAGATCTTTGTGTTTACCCAATGCAAGACCTGTGAACTGGATTCTTGACGTCATCTGCCTTGACCGAGCGTCGGCATAGCTTGGGCGAGAGAGCTTCGTCTGCGTTTTAATGGGGCTTGTGTTGAAATTCTGCTTTACTGTGTGAACTCGAGCCAAATCTGAATGCTCACGCAGAGCTCGACTATAATCATCCAAGTACGGCGTCTGAATAAAAAAAAAATAATTGATATTGTAGTTGTACCCACAGGTGCAGGTTTCAACATAATCATTAGGGGGACGCCGGTTGGATCACTTTCCTAATGCGTGGCTTGCAATAACGTCCCGTCAGCTGCCATTGTAGTGACCTTTCTGCCTGAACGGTCACCTTTTCCAACACGTATTTCGCACCACCGAGTTTGTTCAATTTTTTCTCGACAACAATTCACAACTGCCATTAAGGTGTGGTTCAGTGAAGTTTATTTTCACTATATTCAAAATTTTCCAAAGTGAAAACTGCCATTTTATTACGAAATATTGTTTAGGAAGTGAATGGTCACATCAAATTAATATTACAAATCAGATATCTCAAATTTCTTCTTTGGCATGACATTCTCTTTAAGGCAAAAAGGAATACGGAGCTCCCATTAGGAACATAAAGATTTCTTTCTTTTATTATTACCGGTAGAACAATAATAATATTAATCTTATTTGCTCAGGAGAGCCGCGGCACCGCAGAAAGGCAACGGTATCTTTCTCACCCTTTTCTATTTTAGATATCCAGGAAAAAATTGGTCCCGTTTCCTGACAAGAGATAGGTCAACATGTGGGCCCTTGTATGTACAACGTTAATTGCCGTCATCTCCACATTGTTCTTCTTGTGAGTATATATGCAATCTTTTGGTAGAACTCGGCGAGTGCTGTGCAACCAGCCAAACAAAAATATTATATTTGTGTTAGGCTGGTTGCTTGGCATTATTATGTGGGATTTATTTAATTTTGTCTGGGAATATAACAAATATGTAGGAACACTTTTACAGTCTTCTTTTACTAAGCCGGTTGGAAACAAAGAAAACTTAACCACATGGGATATTATATAAATCGACTTAACACCGCACATAGTGTATGTTGAGCAACTTTAAACAGACTCTTTAAATTACCTGTACCTTGCACCCGTCCAGGGCAGATGTATTTTAAATTTAAACAAATTACCTCAAATGAGAGGACTCCAGATTTTCTGTATTCTATTCCGTTGTTCACAATAAAGCAAATATTTTTTGCTCTTAAATATTTTCTATGTAGAAAGACAAGAACACATTATCTTTGATCACGCTGGTGAGGACCGGAAAACACAAAATGTGTCGAGCTACCATTCGCGTCCGGTTAGTGGGTTGCTCATGCTGTCTGCTTGCGATAAGGCCAAGGGGGAGGGGGGGGGGGGTTGATATTGTCACGGTTGGTGACCAAAAGAAAACAGGAAATAAACAGGGAGAAATAAACGTTTAATGTGGCGAACGTGTGCCGAAAAATAAAAGGGTACAAAGATAATAACAGGGCGTCGCGGGCGTCGAAGTCGGCGTAGCAGCACAGTCGAACACTGGGGCGAAAACTGACTCGTCAAGGTCGCGGGCGGCCTCTTATCTAGAGTGCGTCGCTATCTCGAAGATTCGGCGAAAGCGGCTCGAGCGTCGCGTGATCGGGCGAGAATGAACACGCACTTTCTAGAAAACAAAAGCAGGAATAAATGATAGAAGTTACATGCGGTACATGAATAAACGAGAACTTTCTGGAGGTCCGTGACCGAGCGTTGCTTTCTGAGCCCTGGGCGCGGCATTATCCCCCCCTTTAAAAGTGCATCGTCCCGATGCAGCACAAAAACGGAAAACAAAAAACAAAAGGACAGCAGAATTGCTAGCCGGAGTTCACAGTCCACAGTTCACTCGTCGACGAGAGTGGAGAGTCCTATCGTTCGTAATACGGCTTCAGCCGGACGACATGCACCACCTCGGGTCGCGGCTGACGTCTTGCGGATGGGCGCGTTCCGTCGGGTAGAACTTCGTAGTTCAGATCGCCGAGGCGTCGGATGATCTTGTAGGGCCCAAAGTAGCGCTTCAGGAGTTTTTCGCTGAGACCGCGACGACGAATCGGCGTCCACACCCAAACTCTGTCTCCGGGCTGGAAGTGGACGTCGCGGCGACGAAGATTATACCGGCGAGCGTCGACATGTTGCTGGTCTTGAATTCGTAGTCTGACTAGCTGGCGGACCTCTTCTGCCCGTTGAGTAACCACCTGGGCGTCATCGCTCCCGTCGTTGACTGACTCGTGCGGCAACATAGAGTCTAGCATAGTCGTCACCGTCCGGCCATACACCAGCTGGAAGGTTGCCGGCGCTGTGCACAGCCCGAATGGCATTACTTTAAACTCATACAGTCCGTCCGGCGTGACGAAGGCCGTCTTCTCACGATCTCGTTCGTCGACCTCAATCTGCCAGTACCCGCTCTTCAAGTCCATCGACGAAAAGTATCGGGCGTGGCGTAGTCGGTCCAGGGTGTCGTCGATGCGTGGCAGTGGATAGACGTCCTTTTTTGTTGCGGCGTTCAGTCGGCGATAGTCCACGCAGAACCGAAGAGTCCCGTCTTTCTTTTTCACCAGGACTACCGGTGAAGCCCACGGACTGCTTGAGGGCTGGATAATGTCGTCGTCAAGCATTTCTTGTACCTGCTGCTGGATGGCTTCCCTTTCTTTCACGGAGACCCTGTACGGCGGCCGATTCACAGGGAGTGCGTCGTCATCAGTAATTATCCGATGTTTCGCAACCGTCGTTTGGCGCACTTTCGACGACGTGGAGAAGCACTCACTGAACTCGGCGAGAAGGTCACGAAGTTGTCGTCGTTGTGGGGCTGGGAGGGATGGGTCGATGTCGAGCTCTGAGGACGTGATTGTCTTGTTCTGCGTCGGAGAGGCGTCTTCTGAGATCACGGCGATCGCGGCTGAGTCTTCAATTTCCTCGACGTAGCCCACAGTTGTACCCTTTGTAAGGTGCTGCGACTCTTGCCGGAAATTGGTGACAAGGGCTACTGTACGCCCGTCCTGGAGCTCGGTTACGGCTCTTGCAATGCCAATCCCTCGTCCGAGGAGAAGTTGGACGCTTCCTTCCAGCAGTGCTACACCGCAGGTGGCTCCTTCGGTCCCGACGGGCACAAAGACACTCGACAGCGGCGGCAGGTTTACGTGGCTGGCGAGGACTCGCACTGCAGCTAACGTTGGTTTGGTATTTTCCACCGATGGGGCAGGCTTCCGAAGCGTCAGCTTGTTCTCCGCAAGGTCGATGATGGCGCCGTATTCACACAGGAAGTCCATTCCGAGAATGACGTCCCTCGAACAGTCTTGCAGAACGACGAACTTCACAGGGCATGTTTCGCCGTGAATCTCGACGCGAGCGGTGCATGTCCCGACTGGTGTAATGAGGTGTCCTCCGGCGGTTCTTATTTGTGGTCGATCCCACGGCGTCATGACTTTTCGAAGGCGGCGGGAGAGCCACCCACTCAAGACTGAGTAGTCTGCTCCGGTGTCCACGAGTGCGGATGCGTCGTGGCCGTCGATGACGACGTTTAGGGTATTGGACACCACTGCAGCGGCGTCGTTTTGGTCTCTGGTGGCGTTCGAGTAGGGGCCCCCTGACGTTCGTGGAGGATCTTGGCGTCGGTCGTCTTCGGCAACTCCACCTCCAGGGGTTGCCGCGCCTAGTTTCCCCGGCGAGGAGCGAGGGGGGACAGGCTTTCACGTCGCGGTCGGTGCATCGGCGAAGCTGGACGTCGCGGTGACGGCGACCGGAACTCTCGGCGGGACGCAGGCTCGGGGGACTGAGGTCGTCGCAGGTACTCGTCGATCTCGATAGGGCGTTCACCATGACGGGGGCGCGGGTCGTTCGGGTGGAACCCGCGTAGCCCGAGTCGTCGGTATGGGCATCGGCGGTAGGTGTGGTCCGCTTCCCCGCAATGGAAGCACAGAGGGCGTCGGTCGGGCGTTCGCCACAGGTCGGTCTTGCGGGGTGCGCGAGGCTCCGGGCAGGCGTACTGGACCTGGTCGTCGTGGCGTCGGTCGTGCTGCGGCGCAGGAGACTGACGTCGGGGCGGCGTGACATAGGTGCGGCGAGGAGGCGGTGGCCGTCGGGCCACTGCGGCGTAGGTCAGGGCGGGCTCTTCGGGTGGTGCTACGCAGGCAGGAGCCTCCGGTTGAATTGCCCGCTGGACTTCTTCGCGCACCACTTCGGCGATCGACAGCTCAGCCGGCTGGTTGGCAGCAGGCAGCAGCTTGCGGAGCTCCTCCCTGACGATGTCGCGGACGATTTCCCGAAGGCCGTCGACACCGGTGGCGTTCAGGTCTAGTCGGCAAGATGCGGCGGTTCGAGGAGCAGGCACGCCGGCGAGTCGATGGTAATGGCTTGCTCGGGCCGACAGCGCTCGCTCGATGTTAGTGGCTTCAGCCACAAAACCGTCGACGGTTGTCGTGGCACGCTTGAAAAATTTCTTCTCGGAGGCTGGCGGGGACAACCAGTAGCCAGGGGGTTTCGCTGGTTCCGAAATTCTTTCTGAAGAGCACGCCTCGCCCGCTGGAGCCTTCGACTGCAGGAATTCGACGTAACCATTGTGCATAAGTCCGGCCGCAAGCATAATGACGCTGACTGTTTGTCTAGGGCTCCAGTCGAACCTCCAATCTCCGGCGCGGACGACGATGACGACGCCCGTTTTCTAGGCGCAGTTGACGCTACCGACATGAGGGCACTGCAACGCGACGACGCGGAACTTAGCTCCGTGATCGACAGCCTCGAAGGTCGAGGAGGCTCTGTCCCACGGTTCTTTTCTCGGGACCTACCGAGCTTTGTCCTGCGGCGAGGCGTGCTCTTCAGAAAGAATTTCGGAACCAGCGAAACCCCCTGGCTACTGGTTGTCCCCGCCAGCCTCCGAGAAGAAATTTTTCAAGCGTGCCACGACGACCCAACGGCCGGACATCTCGGCTACAGCAGGACCCTTGCCCGGATTCGTGACAAGTACTACTGGCCAAAGCTTCCGAAGACCGTCCATCTCTACACACGATCGTGCCATGAGTGCCAGCGACGCAAGAAACCACCGTCAAAGCCAGCAGGTCTCCTTCAGCCGATTACGCCGCACCTCCACCAAAATGTCACGGTTGGTGACCAAAAGAAAACAGGAAATAAACAGGGAGAAATAAACGTTTAATGTGGCGAACGTGTGCCGAAAAATAAAAGGGTACAAAGATAATAACAGGGCGTCGCGGGCGTCGAAGTCGGCGTAGCAGCACAGTCGAACACTGGGGCGAAAACTGACTCGTCAAGGTCGCGGGCGGCCTCTTATCTAGAGTGCGTCGCTATCTCGAAGATTCGGCGAAAGCGGCTCGAGCGTCGCGTGATCGGGCGAGAATGAACACGCACTTTCTAGAAAACAAAAGCAGGAATAAATGATAGAAGTTACATGCGGTACATGAATAAACGAGAACTTTCTGGAGGTCCGTGACCGAGCGTTGCTTTCTGAGCCCTGGGCGCGGCAATATTTGCGAGGTCAGCGCAACCGCACAGTTTAAGCTTTTTATAGATCAACCCCGTTTCTGTCCCCGAGTATTTGTCAGCATAATCAGCTAGTAAAAAATCTGACCATCAAATAAATTTATTTGTCTCACGCACCTGCTTGGCTTAGTTCTAAAGTGAACAAAATTGCTTTTTTTCAGCCGGTGTTATCAACATAATCGCCAATATTATATTTTTTTATGTATGTGCTCATAAACAACAATTGTCTGCGATCCGGCACAACCTAATACTTGCAGTATCTTGCTGGGAATCACATAGCCCCAAAGTTCAGTCTCCGTCGAGATAAATCTTAAATTTGTGTTTTAATAATAGCCCATATAATCCTAAAGGGGCCATTATAAAAAAAACATATATCCCTATGTTACACACAGCTTTAACCTACATGCACTTGCCAAGTGTAACAATACAGCGTTAGAGGTTTTTTTTTTTTTAATACAAATGAACGTATTAGCAGTTCAGATACTATGGTAATACATTGAAATTTATTTTTGTTCTCTGTGCCAGTAAAAAGAGATGCTCAACCACATTAGAATTCAAGCATATCCACTAAACACCGCATGTAATTCATATTGAGCAACCTCAAGCGACGTCCTGTTTTACCTCACGTTTTGCGCCCATTCCAAATAGGTGTAATTTCTGGTTCAGAGATAACAGCACGAAAGAGACCACACAACATTTACCCCGGTTGTTTTTGTGCAGAAAGCTGTATGGATTTGCGGAGCGCAGCTGTTAAGCCCTACATATCAAATCAAGCACAGCTTTAAGCGGAACAACCCTGTTTAGAAGAGCATAGAAACGACCGTTACATTTTTTTCTTTACAGCTATAAAAAGTAATAATGGAAAATATTCAGATCCTTTGAGTTCGGAAATAACCAGGGCGACGTTTCTTTTCGTTGGACTTAATAGCAAATGCGGCACTGTAAAGAATAATAATAATAATAATAATAATAATATTGTTATGAATAATTAGTTCTTCATTTCTTCATTTTTTTATTTATGTTTTAATACTGTTAGCCCAAGGGACGATACAAGGTGGGGTTCCAAAGAAAATCACTTGCGGCCGATGTTTTGGCCGTTACACACACACACACACGCACACACTAAACGCACAAGTTCAGAGCGTGTTAAAAGATTTAAACTCGAGTTGCACTACTTTGGTGCACGCAGTACCGCTACAAGTCAAACGCATACAGATTGAACTTACAGCACAAGACAAATTCATAACAGCCTTGCACACACAAAAGCACGAGGACATAAAATGACATGAAACAACAAAAGACCCTATTATTACAACCGTAGCAACTCATTTTCCAAACCCCTCAACGAGTCTATTGTCAATATATCATGGGGGAGGCAGTTCCATTCCTCTATTGTTCTGGGGAAAGATGAATATTTGAAAGTATCTATGCCCGCCATTATGGGTGTTATCTGGTTCGGGTGGTTGCTGCGGACAAAACGAGCTGATCTTGGTTTTATATATTGGTGAATGTCAAAGCCGAAGATGTTGCGATGCATTAAATGCATGCATTTTAATATTGCTATGTGTCGGCGTTGCTCGATTGGCGGCAGGTTGAGATATCTTAGCATGGCGCTGACAGAGTCAGTCGTCCTATATCTTGACAGTATAAACCTCGCTTTTCGTCTCTGAAACTTTTTAGCCCTGTTGATTCGATAGGTTTTATACGGGTCCCGTACTACGCTCGGATATTCTAGCCTGGGGCGCACTAGGGTTAGGTATGCAGTTAGTTTAGCGTCTGGTGAAGCGGCTTTTAGTTTACGTCATAATGACCATCGTCTTATTTCTGCTCTAAATGCATATTTTATTTACATCTACATTCCAGTTGAAATCTTCAGTTCTTCTAACACCAAAGTACTTGAAATTACTTACACTCAATAAAGGTGTGCCGTGTATTTCATATTCGAATAATGAGATAGTTTCAATTTTAGTTGTTGCCCTTGCATACACGTGTTTTGTGTAGTTTATTTTCATTTTCCACTTCGCGCACCAGTCTTTAATCCCTTTTAGCGACGGGTTCTGTTCGACTTGTTCAGCTTGATTTGATATATTTTAATAGATTAAGCGCTCGTCGGCAAATAGGCGAGCCGTAAAGTCAGAGGTGAGTTTATGTGCAATGTCAATTATGTAACCTAAGAATAGAACAGGACCCAGCACAGACCAAGGAGAATCGCCCGATGTTACATTTAGAATTCCTGATTGTGGACCATTAACGTCTACTAACTGTGTTCTTTTTGTAAGACGTGATTAAATCAATTTCACAATGTTCTGGCTCACACGAAGTGTAAGACGTTTCCTAACAAGCTCTGCATGTTGGACGCGGTTATTTGCTTACGATAGGTCCGGGCATATTGCGTCCACCTGTCCTCTATTATTTAGAATTTTCGCTAAGTCGTGAACGGATTTGGCAAGCTGAGATATAGGGGATAATTTTTTTCTAAAGCCACGTTGATTTGGATTACGATCTTAGAACCCTCGAAGTACGTGAACAAGTTTTATGATCGTATGTGTCCTAGTATATAATGTTCAGCATCATCAGGTAATTGAAATAGGCTGATAATTTTCAAATTTATGTTTTTTCCCCGATTTATGAATATGCACCACTAGCACCGTTAGCACACCGAAAGGTAAATTGTGTTGCAGGAGTGACGCATTAAATATAATCAGCCAATATTTTCATACCCACTCCACACAGCACTTGAGGAATTTGTTTGGAATACCGTAGGGACCACCGGATTTTTTGGTATTCATTTTAAGGAGTGAAACAAATGCCCAGTTCTGATAAAAGAAAATCTGACATGACTGAAGGCTGTTCAGCACTATTCACACTGGCGTCAAAAATTGAAGACATCGGGGGGAGAGGGGGGGGGGGGACAGAGTGCAAGTAATTATTATATTGCTGATCGACCTCTGCACGGTTAGTAATAACATTTCTATCAAAGACGACATACTGAATATTATCATGCGAGGAACCCAGATAATGCCCAAGCCTCTGCAGCGATTCCGTCGTAAATTGGGTTAACGTCTTGGAGTAATACGTCTCCCTAGCTATGACCAATTTATCTTGAAGCGTGAATCAAGGACAACAAATTTCGGTACTACTTTTTATTTTTAGTTGTTTTTGCTTCAATTTTTTGTTTAAGGTGAATTATTTCACTGTTAACCAAAGGATTTCTCTATTCTACTGTTTTAACTTGCTGTGGTGCAAATTTTTCAAGGAAAAAGTTGGCTGTAGTTTTAAATCTGTTCTACAGTGTGTCAACGTCTGTTGTTTCATGAAACGAGTACAAACACATTTCTAAATTGACTAGAACGCTTACATCATATGCCTTATAAAAGCCTCTGACGACAATCGTTGGCTATTATTTACAAAGCATGTTACAGTGTCACTGGCACAAATATTTTCGTTCTGGATGGGGCGAAAGAACAGGCCAGCAAATGGCTAAGAGATAAAAATCATTGTTGCGAACATTGTGGAATGCTGTTTCTAAAGTTTAAGAGAGATTATTCTTTTTGCAGGTGGAGACGGCATAGATTTTCCTTGTTCAAGAACATTGGTATACCTGGACCTGAACCTAGTATATTCACCGGAAACATAAGTGAAATCATTGAAAAGGTCAATGTCAAACGAATTCATCAGTAGAAATCATGTAGCGAAAGATTGTCTTGTAGAGCCTCGTTCGTTTTTTTAACATTAGACTTGTGTTTACCTAAATTCGTTTCAGTAGAAGTTTGTTGTCCATCAATTATATTTGGTATCGTTCAGAAATCTATTTTTAAAACTTAAAACCCAGTTGCACCGCACGTATGGCCGCTACTTCATGGAGCCTAAGAATGCGTTTGATGTAGGCATTATGTGGAATGTGTTAATACCGTCTTCCAATACCTCTGTTTGGTAGAGAATAAACTCAAAGATTCACTGGTTGACAGGCTACAAATAAACGAACTATAGTTTTCATAAAACGCTCTGAGAATGTTTCATCGCTTAAGTATTTGTGTAGTCCTGATGTCCCAACCGGAATATCGGTTATGCCAAGTATATGTCACTGAATACTGTCAACCAGGGCGCTTGCGAAACAAGTTTTTAACTTCAGATTAAAAAAAAATCATATGTTTGCATCCTGATAAAAATTACAAGCGGGAGTGAGGAAACTTCAAAACTAATTGCCTAAAAGGTGATGAATAAAAAGTGGGTCTTGGGAGAGGGGAAGCTTCACGTAGTGGCCCAAGCGGACTCAAATTCGCTTTCGAAACAAAGGGGAAGGCGTAAACTTGCGGCTGATGTTTCAAGACTTTGTGGATGTTACAGAACATAAGAATAAACCAGAAAGATAAATTATTTTGGCATGCCCTCTGGTGTGCCAATACCATAGTCATGAAATGCTCAGTCGTGATAAGTATGGCACAAAAGCCATGCGCTCAACGTCTATACGAAACGTGCCTTGCTTGTGGTCTCGATTGTATGAATATCCTTTTGTCTTGCTAACTTAGTTTTGTGTTCCAGGGAGCAGCTCGCATGTTTGATGAATGGGTTAATAAGTACGGGGACGTAGTAGGGTAAGCTATATCAATCAAACAAATATTTTTCAGTATTCATTGATTGATTGATTTCGAGCTCAATTAGTTAATAATTTTTTCTATTACATATTAGCCCGAATCTGTCTTTCTCGTAGAAGAGCATTGTTGGTCTTTGCTTTTTGTTATTGTTATTGCTTAATTGTTGTTCTTCTCCCCACCCTACCTGTGATGCCCTAGTGGCCCTGAGAGTGTTGAAATAAAAAAATACATAAATAAATAAATGAATTCGACCTAATTCAGGCAACGAAGGACGGAATACTTTAGCGAAATAACTCTTGATTTATGGTGCATAACCAGTTGCCAAGACATCAGTGTGAAAATTACTGTCAACTGATGGATATAGAATTTCAAGGAAAATTGGTTTAAGTATTAAATGTGTTTTATTTTTTTCCTCCCATAAAAATGGCTGCAGGTTTTACAATGGAGTCACACCCATGCTCATTGTCAAGGATTTGGAAATGATCAAGAATATTCAGATCAAAGACTTCGGTAACTTTCATGGGAGGGGGGTGAGTTACACGAATGTCTTTAACCGTCCTTCGAACTATTCTCTGCTTACCTAGTACTTTCGTTCACTCCGCTTGGGCGGATAGCATTCTCTACGTAGGATTACATATGAAAAAGTATAAGTCTCCTGCAGCACAACATCCACTTATTAAAATAATGGCGATTTTCAAAACCAATTACGTAGAAGCGTTGACGGCAGCTAATGCAAAACACATCTTCACTCACTTGCAACCGCGTCAGTCATTCCGTCCCGTTTCGTTCACAAGAACACAAAAAAACGAGCACCTTTACGCGCCTAATTTAAAGGCCTCGAACTTCTTTCTTTTAGTACTGTCGGATAAAGAGCTTTTTCTCCACGCCCAAAAAGGAACAATGTTCATTTTCTAACTACTTTGTTAGCACGCACACACGCTGTATTGGTCGTTTCACAACCCTGCCAGTTGAAAATCTTACCTCACATGCAATCACCCCTCCGTCTCTTCCAGGTAACAGTGTTTGTACCACTTCCATCTGCCAGAGCTGATGTGGCTGCTGGCTGTCGTGTAGTATCACCTGGTCTCCCATTTTGACAGATCGCTTTGATAGCTTCGTTGTGTAAAGAGATCGGTTTTCAGTTAGTTCTTTCTACAACCGTTGGCATAGCGTTTTCAGGAACCGTCCTCTTAGTTTCCAAAGCTTCCGCAGAAACTCTGTATTTCCGCTTTCAAAATCGGTGCGGAACAGCTTTGGCAGCGATGTAAGTCTTCTTCCTGAGTGACATGCGATGGGCAAACTGCTTGATGATCTTGTATTTCATTGTACGTGTGTAGGTCAGTGGTCGACAGTCCATAACTGCTTCCACTTCAGTGAGGAGATTCACCAACTTTTCATCCGCCAAAACTTGCCGGCCGATAGTTTTTTTTTTTTTTAACAAAGTCATAACTGCTCTAACTCTGCGCTCATTAAAAGCACCTCATCACGGAGCACGTTCTAGATTCATTTTCATTGTATCCGACTTTTTGCGAAGTGACTTCTTAGTTCTTCGCCGCGAGGAATATTCCAAAGGTCCCATAGTTTCCTACTGATATTCTTAAAAGTTATCGCATTGTCAAAATAGACAACTCCCGGTACGCCTCGTCTCAAAACAAACCCTCAAAAGGCCCGCAGAACAAACTCTGCCATCATGTCAGACAGCAGTTCCAAGTTTACTGCCCGAGTGACATCACACGTCAACAACGTGATATACCCCTTCCGCGGTGTCTTGCGAGCTCTAATCTAGAGGGGTCCTGCGAAGTCCAGACCAACGACCCCATAGGCGTCCGGGGCTTTTACGCGATCCGAAAAAGGGACGCAGTTAAACCCGATGTGGGTCTCGCGTTTAGTCGCTGACATGAGATACATTTCTTGGTTCATTTTTTCACCGTCTGTCGGACACACGTATAAGATCCAGAAGCACTCTCTTAGTAGCGCCAGAGTTTCTCTCAATTCTTCATGAAGTAATCGACGGCGTGCTTGGCTTATCACCAGCTTTGAAAGGAAATCACTTCGGTAGCTCATCCGGAGACTGCAGAGAACTGCAGTCTCCCTTCTGCACCAAGTAGTCCATTGTCATCGACAAAAAGAAAAATGTTTTTTGTAGGGGAGTTTGAGGGAAGCTTCTTAGCTCCTGGGAAACACTTGATCTCTTGGCTGGAGGATGTGCGCTGTGCAATTCTTCTTTTAGCAAAAAAAAAAAAAACATACGTCAAGTGTACTTCTGGCGAACTTAGAGCGGATACTTTCTTTGTAATATTTAGGTATTAATTTGGCCAATGTGCAGTATACTCTGCGTGTACTTGTGGCGCACTCCAAGTGTACCTGTAGGCCACCCTTTGGCTGTGCTTCCAGTATCTTTCTAGTGATAGAAACAATCGTGCCAAAATTTATACTATCCAAAAATGCTGTTGAGCAGGTTAAGAAACCATGTTATGCGAAAATATAAAACCAGAAAATCCGGTATAACAAATTAATAGCCATGAGCCACGTTTGGGTTCTGCTCACAATTGATTTTACAGGTACCTCTTATTTCGATGTTCCACATAACACGACTCTTGTTCCGTGTTTAACGTTCTGCAATCTCGAGAGCCTCGCTAGTTCCGGCCGATACTTTTGCACACAATGTAACACGGATACAAAGGTTCTCTGATGCAGCCACTGCGGAAAGATGCCCGAGTAACCTCCGTAGGCTTTTGACATTGTGAGGGGGTGGGTACTCCGTTATGCAGCGCATATTATCCTCTTTCGGGTGCAGAGTGCCGATATGTACAACAAAAACCACAAGGATGACTACAGGTGAGGCCAACGGAAATTTAAGTGGGTGAATCGTAAGGCCAGCCGAGATGCTCCCTCGAATGGTCGTAAAAATATAACTACGTCATCCATGTACACCACCGCAAACTCGTACTCCGCGCAAAGTCGTCCTTGGCAGTAGGACCAAGAAATGCTTTGCCGCCAGTGTTTAGCAAGATGTTTTTTGTGCACCTGATGGCATCCAGCACTCATTAGAACCTTTTCATTTTTTTTTTTGCCTGGAAAATTCATCTTTGCTTCGCACATAGCTCTTTGTTGTGGTCTGGTGAATTGCAAAGAAATAAACTCGGCTTGTTAGCATGTCGTGAAAGCGTAGCGGCCGTTCCTGTGCAAAACCCTTGTTTTCTCATCGGTTTTCGAGCTTGAGATTCTGCTCTACTCTCTTTACCTGCCACGTGCTTTGAACTTTCGGATTTTGTTTTTCTTGTAAAAGCTGTTCGCTCTCTACTTTCGAATTCAATGCGCAAGAATCGCTGGAGTGCAGGCTGTTCCTTTGGCTGTCGTTTCCGTGGTTGCTTGTGTTTTTCTTGTTTTTTTTACCAGTCCCGGGTATTTTTAGAATTCCCCCAGGATGTTGTTCCTTGTCGCGAACGACGTTTTTGGTGAGGGTAAAAAATATATTCTAGAATCAGCTGAAGTATCCGGGGGGGACTGCAGGGTCGAAATCGAATCTTTGCTCACCCGCAGCGATTTTAATTTACGTATGTGTGTCTGTTGGTCGTCATGTAGCCTCCGGAGTCCTCGAACATCTTTCGCGTAACTAACTGGCTGTCGTTCCACTAGTTTCATCACATGGTCATTCATAAGCAGCGCCTGCTGCCATATCGCGTCCTCAAGATCTAACCTGCATCATCGTAGCAGCTTGCTGTTGGTGGCAATCCGGCAATCGCTGCTTTAGCTTCGTCTCACAATGCAGATCATAAGTAGTGGAACTTATCGGCTGAAGACAATCTTAAATTGCCGTGGATGACCTGCTCGAACTGCTTCCAAAAGGGTCTCCACTGTTAACGCTGCCCATTGAGCTTAAGCAGGTCGAGTTTGGGCAGCTTTACTTTAATTGTCGCAGCAAGAACACGGTGGCCGATTGCATTTAATGACTCTCGTGTGCTAGCTCTTTCATAAAGCGACGTCACTTTGAAGGCAAGTCTTGCGGATCGAGTGACAATTCGCTCATTGTATTTGATAGAGCGAGCGTGTTTTTCTTTCGCATCACCCGCTGCCAGCAACGGCTCGGTGGCAGTATCTGTTTCAGTCAGCTTACGGTGTAGCTCGTTGAGACGAGTCACTATAATTTTTAACTTTTCAACCAACACTTAGTTTCGAACTGCTGCATCAATATCGGTAAAGAGCTTAGTTACATGAGAGCGCAAGGCTTTCCGCTTCTTTTTAGCATCGCCATGGCCGAGACCTTATGTCCTTGGCGTTCACGAGCTTGAGAGTGTCTTATGAGTAGCCTCGTTGCTTTAACACCTACGACATCTTCAGTTCTGTAGTGAAAAAAAAGTCATTTGTATGAGAAATTTCTTGTGTCCAATAAACACATATGAATAATACAAGATATATAAGAACATATAAGAACCGAATAAGAACTATATAAGAATCATATTGCCGCGCGCAAGGCTGAGAAAGCAACGCTCGGTCACGGTCCTCCAGAAAGTTCCCGTTTATTCATGTACCGCACGTAACTTCTATCATTTATCCCTGCTTTTGTTTTCTAGAAAGTGCGTGTTCATTCTCGCCCCGATCACGCGACGCTCGAACCGCTTTCGCCGAATCTTCGAGATAGCGGCGCACTCTAGATAAGAGGCCGCCCGCGACCTTGTCGAGTCAGTCTCGCCCCAGCGTTCGACTCTGCTGCCACGCCGACTTCGACGCCCGCGACGCTCTATTATTATCTTTTGTACTCTTTTATTTTTGGCACAAGTTCGCCACATTAAACGTTTATTTCTTCTTGTTTATTTCCTGTTTTCTTTTGGTCACCACCCGTGACATTTTGGTGGAGGTGCGGGGTACCGCATGCCCGTGCAGCGTTCTCCTCCAAGGGACCGCAGTGCAAGTCCGATTCCCGGCTCGGTGAGAAGACCACTCACCGCAGAACCTGAAATTCGGACCAGCCGCCGCACCAAGGGAGAGGATCCTGAGTACGGTTTGCTCCTGGACAAGCCCAAGCCGCAGAAGACGACGATGGCCAACCAGTCGCAAGCCCCCGCCGCTTCTCCCGTCGTCTACATGCCCGTCGCACCGCGGACGGCTGCCCCCTTCCACGGTGAACTTTACGAAGACGTCGAAGACTGGATTGACCAGTATGAACGCGTTGCCCGCCACAATGGCTGGACCGACGAGCAACGCCTGCACAACGTTTACTTCTCGCTTGAGGGAACCGCCAAGCACTGGTACGAGAACCATGAGTCCTCTTTGACGTCGTGGGACATCTTCAAGACCGACCTGAAGGCTACGTTCGTCAACCACCACCGCCGAGAGAGAGCCGAGGACCTACTGCGAACCAGGACCCAGGGCCCCAATGAAAGCGTCACGAGCTTTGTGGAAGACGTGCTCCGCCTGAGCTCCCGCGCCGATCCTCAGGCCACCGAGGGAAAGAAGCTGCGCATTTTGATGCGGGGCGTGAAGGACGACATCTTCGGAGGCCTCGTCCGCAACCCGCCGGCAACCGTTG